CAGAAAGTATTTTCTCTTAACTTTTACTGAAAATCATAAAACAGAGCAAATTAAACATATTAAATAAATACATTAAAAAAGAAGCATATTTATTTACCAAGTATACAGGATGTGTCAGTGAAGCTGATAATTTTCTTTCTATTAAGAAGATACTTTTAAAAAGCAGTGTTGTCTCTGAAAGCAGCCCCAGAATAGTATAAAATACATACCCATCCTTGAGTTCATCCAGCTCTAGTCTAAAAGCAGAGCAAATACCTGAGAGGACTCAATATTGACATTTTAGGTTGTGTTTTTAGGTAGAGTTAAAGAGTTGAGTTTACTTTTTTAAATGACATGCAGATTCTTGCCTTGCCTTTTTTAATTAGAAACACAAAGCTGCAGTGCAGACTTCTCCTCGAGCAGGGAGCTGTCCAGGGCTGAGCTTTCTTTCTTTCTCTCTCCCTCCATCCCTGTGCTGGTGGTCCTTGGCCTGGTCCTCCGCTCCCCTGGCTGTCCCCGGCAGGCTCCATCTGCTCGCTGAGGGGGAAACGGCAGCTGCTCAGCCTGCCTGCTCTCCTCCTCCTCCTTCTCTCCTGCACCAGCTGTGAACCAGCCTCCCTCCCAACCGGACACACACAGCACCTTCACACATCCTACAGACTGCATTAGGATGTACTAACTCTGATATTTTGCCCAAAATTCTAACTGAATCACTGCTATAAAGTAAAAGTTCCTCACTGGTTCTTGACTTGGGCATATAGTTCTAGGAAAAAACTTTGGTGTAGAACTTGTATATTCTTTTATCTCTATCTCTTTATTTGGACAGTACACTTTGTAGATACTTACCTTTTATTTCCATTTTTACCTTTCATTTGCATTCATTTAACCTAACCCTAATCCAGTGGTGTAGTCTAGTCTGAAGTAGTAAGTATATTTTGAGTAGCTGTTAGCAAGACTAGCCTAGCTAGCACAAAGCAGTAGAACTAAACACTAGAACTACTAAAACTATCTACATAAATAACCAAGTTTACTGCAATTATAAAATGTTAAATCCTTCTCATTTAGTATATTTCTAATGCTAGGTATTTTTACTTAATGTTCATTATCATGCAAATTAAGTTCTGATCTAACTATAGTTTGCTAACTTTAACTTCAACTCAGGATCATCCATCACAGACCATGCAAGCATTCACACACGAATGTGGCAAAAGAGCATTTTTCTGCTGAACTATAGAGAACATCTAGACTCTATCTAGATTGTAAAGGACTTTTTACTTTTTTCTGCCTCCAACAATAACCTTGGCAACAGTAAAGTCACAGTAAGGTCGAAGACCCTGTGTCAAGCCTACCCCAATTGGTTACTGTTGCTACGTCTGATAAGCTTGGAGTTATTGGAGTTGCATGGAGTTTCAATGGCATGATAGACTGTTTATCCTGTTTATCCATTTATTGTGATTTGAAGCAAAAGATCCAAAATTTCAGAAAAAACAACAAAACAACAAAAAGGTCTCCAGTGTGCATTTGAAGACAATTTTCATACATAACCTTTGTGATTTCCCTGCAGCCTAAAAGAATAAAACTAGGGGCCTACAGATCACAGTCTAAATGTGAGAATCTTTATCACATAGCAATACATGTAGATGACATTGAATTGAAAAAGCAGCACTGTTCCTCTACTGGAAGGTAAGTAAATATTTAATTACATTCATGAAAGTATAATATTTTATGGCCTGGTTATTAAATGTGATACTTTACAAGTGCAGGGGCCGATTAAACTTTTCCAGTGTTAGTTATGCTTGCTAGTAAACAGTGATCATTCCATCGCCAGTATACATTTTGCTCAAAAGTTCAGTGAGGTTCAAAATGTCTATATTTGTATTGTAGACATTGTGGTGCCTGGTTCCTATTACTACTTCAAAGAAATCTGAGTCGGTAAGTTTCTCTGCAATGAACCATTTCATATTAAACAACTCTGAATGACTTTGTTTACATCTCCAAGTAAATTGTGCAGAATTTTTGAAAAATCAGTGAACTCCCCTTTAAAGGGAGGGGTTTTGCCAGGGTCTCATTTGTAAAACATTGGAAGTTTGTCAGACAACTTGAGGGAGTCAGCCTGTCAAAGTTTTATTTCCATAGCAGTTCAGTATTGACTTTTGATGTTAATTCAACATTTAGCTGTCACTATTACACACAGTGATAATAACAGCTAGATATAAACATCATTATGCATTTTTAAGTGGGTTATATGCAAATCCTAGTGGTTTCCCTGTGGGTATATGGCATAAACCTGCATAGACTACACTGCTGCCCAAACACTAGCCCTAATCTTATACTTAACCTGGACCCTAAACCTAATCTTACATTCTCAACCTGGTTCCAAGGGTGTCCCCTTGCCAGTTTTAGAGGAGCTTTAGTTAAATATATCATAAATATATAAATATGTCATTTGTGAGACAAAATAAAAATAATTTGCAAAAATATAATATCTGTGCTGTCAAATGTCACTATGACCATGAAATTCTGTCACCTAGATTAATAAACATGTGGGCATAACTACAGAACAAAATCACACTCTTTCAGATTGCACTAACTGAGACTATACTAATCTAAAACCTAAGACCTGCAGCTTATCTAAGAGAGAGGAGATAACATTCCCTGACTTGCTTAGTCTGTGTGTGTTGTGAGAGAATGGAGGTAGTATTTAAGTCATGGATCTGTGCTTAATACAAACTATAAAGAGGCAGATCTACTGTACACGAACTTGACCAAACGGCCATTTGTTAATCAATTTTCAACCTAATGCTTCTCCAAAAGTTCATTATGAACACATATTTTAGGGCCATTAAAAAATTCTCCTGGGGCAGCATGCCCCAGATCTCCTTTAGTAAAAGCTTAGCTCCCTTGTCTGTACAACTCCAGTGACACCCCTGCCTGAACCCTAACCCAAACCCTAACACATACCAGAATCAACTGACTTCCTCCAGATACTGTGTTAGCAATTTGAATATCTGTAGATAATCAATGGGGGGCTACAGTGTTCTAGCCAAATAGAGTGAGACCCTTTAAACTTTCAAAATGTTGCACATTTGCAAATGTCATTGACAAAAACGTTTTTTTTTTTTTTAAGAATCATCCATTAAAAGCTTCCTTAGTGAACTAAAATAACTCTTTTTGGCACCATTATTTTTAACAGTGATGGACTGAAGTGGAGTTAAGAAGCTGATATCTTACACTCTTAAAAATAAACAGGCCAAAATGGGCACTCTCAGAAAAAAAAGGTATGAAACTGTCACTGGGGTGGTTCCCTCAAGGCTACATCTCAGTGCCTTTAGTCAGGGAACGTAATTGTACCAAAATCCAAAATCCATTGAAGTTATATTTTCTGAGTTGTATTGACTCCACACACCCCGTCTCGTCTCCAGGCTTTTTATTTTATTGTTCTGTTTTAGAACATTAGATTATGAAAAGGTACAAATATGTACTTTTCCACTAGGACAAACTTATTTAAGGTAGACAGCTGGACCTTAAAATCACTGTTGTAACTTTGAGGGAACATTTTTCACAGTGTACTTATGATCAGAGTTAAGAAGCCACTGCTTGTTCGTGATGTCTGTTTGTGGTCAGTTTTCTATTGTGGCAAAAGTTCTAGTATCTGACTGCATTAAAACTTCACCTTCAGATTTTCTTGAGCATTTTCATGAAAGAGAAATAGGTTATATATGTAAACCGATTTTAGAAAGAAATCAAACAGTAATCAGGACAGATATTATATTTCTATATAATACAGAGTTATATGTCAGTTATGCAGACTGTCTGCAGAGATGACCAACCACACGTTACGCAGATATATTATTACTTTTTTCTGAACAAAAAAGCAGTCGTAATAAATGATTGTTTTTTGGAAAGTAGGCCAAACAGTACTGAAAGAGCATCTCAGCATCTCTGCACACATGAAAGAGTCGCGTCAGTCTTTTTTTGGGCAGTAATTAATACTGCAGCCACAATTAGAACTGTTCCGTGGTTAAATCCAGACTGTTCTGTCCTTTTCTTTTTCTATCTAAAACAATAAATTCCAGTCTTATCTTACAGAAACATGGCGCATCTTCCCGCACGAAAGAAAATGAGACGAGGAGAAGAGTAACAGCATCAATAAATCATTTTCACCCAACGTTGATCCCGGGGAGATTTCTGATAGATTAAATTAAAATGAAGCCCCTCCATCTCTCCATCTCCCACCTGATCGCCTCAGCTCATCATAAAACCTCAGGCACCTTCAACCTTCAGCTCAGTAAACACCTCTGGAGCGGGGCTTCAACCTGCACACTTCTGTGGGGGCTTCAGTTTTAACACCCAGGCTGTTTGTTTTCTCAGCTAACGCGGAGAGATTTGTCACTACGAGAAGCTATTTTGATTCCCACCTGTATTCAGGCAAAACCCACCCACTGAGCTGCGATTGGCTAGTAGAGATATTACACAGTTCAGTCTGTACTGTTTTAAAAGGGAAAGTGCTCGATGCTACCTCTGTTTTTGGTTATTTTTTAATACTGGAAAACATAAATACGATAACAGTCCATCGACCTGTAAACTAACAAGAATAAACAGTTTTCTTTTAATTAGCCTAATGATATTTTATACCAAGATATTTACTCACTATGTTATGTATATATATATATATATATATATATATATATATATAGGTTACAGTCATAAAAAGGCCATAAAATGACAAATCAAAGTGCCTGAAATAATGGAAATTCCTGTAAATACAGGGTTTTTCTCTGTTGCATCTACAAAATACAGAACTATGTACTATTATTTAAAAGCGTACTACCAAAAATTTGCTGGCAGAATTTCCCCTCTACTGTATTTAAACAGGTTTTTTTTTCCACATTGTACTAACCAATGGTATCGCAGTGGGCGGGGCTGTGCCTGAATACGGGTGGAGTGACAGGAAGCCTAATGCGCGCTGCTGCGCGGGAGCTGTCCAGTGCTGAAGTTTCATTCCGCCCGCGCGGAGCAGAAACCGAGAGCAGCACCCGAGCCGAAGAAGCTCGCGCAGGACGGCCGGAGTGTTTCCTCTGCCCGGGTGTCCGATAGCTGGCCCTGCAGGGATCTCTGGTCTCCGTCCAGCTCCTCTGCTCCGCGGTGGATGAAGAGAGGACGCGGTGCTGGTCGCTCTAAACATGCCAAGGTCTTTCCTGGTGAAGAAGGTTAAGCTCGATGATTTCTCCTCCGCAGATTTGGAGAGCGCGTACGGCAGGTCCAGGAGCGATCTCAGCCTGCGGATTCACGAGAAAGGTAAACCGGAGTCTCTCGGGCTTGTTGAGGTATTTCTGCACTGTTTGTCTGGCAGCCTAAACACGCCTAGGGTCGAGAAGAACAATAAAAGCGCAACACATGAACGTCCGAAGTTCTAACTCTGATTAAAACCACACATAAACAGCGGAACACAAACCTGTTTGAAGGGCTTAGACAGTCACGCTGCTTCACTTCTTAACCACCTACAAGTTGCTCTTAACGAATGAGTGCATGATGCTTTCTCTGCTCCATCAAAAAAGGCTTTAAGCTGCATGTCTTTACTCATCTTATCCTCAGTTTATATTATACTTCTGAAAATATATGCAGCCTACAAATATCCATGTTTTCTTTGTTAACTGTCTGCGAATATGCCTGTAATTGTTGCATGCACTTGTTGTGCATTGCTTCTTCAGTTTATAGGAGTGACCTGCAGACAAACAGGATGTGCTGCTATTACATCTGCTATCAGTGTTCATTTGGATCCAGCTGCTTTTGAATGCTTACTGTAAGAATGAATGAATTAAAACAACACTGTAGGTGTTACATTGTGGATTTTCCTGTGTGCAGTTACTGTACACTAGGCTCCAAATGCCACTCATTGGTGCTCTGAAAGCTTTGCGATGTGCACATTCTTACCCACATGCTCCAAGTGCTGTCCAGCAGCCACATCTCATGCCACAACCAACCACTGACCGCTGGCTTTAAGGCTTCTCTAGTCTGTTTGTTTTTTATTGGAATGGCCTGCAGACATGCAGCGCATACAGTCACTATCTGATCCAAATGTCAACGGCACTCCAAATGTCTTGGAGTCAGCTTGTTCTTACACACATGGCTGATGCATCTCATGCCACCGCTGACTAATGAAGTAGAGAAAAAAGTAACATTTAATATGTGTGTGGCAAAATCCTCAGAGTTCATTTGGTTCCAGCTGGATGTCTATGAACAGTGAAGATGTTAAATGAACACATATTAGTTCACACTGCAGAGAGTCACTTTACTCAACAGTGAAGGTGTTAATCTAAAACTCTAGACGATTTGACACTATGAGAGTCAAGCTCTCACTGTAGGTGTTAAATAACCACTCTAAACTTTGTTAATTCAACACTGTAGAGGTTAAACCAGCACTCATCATGTTATTTCAACACTGTAGGTAGTAGTCCATTGCTGTAGAGGTTAATACAATACTGTAGGTGTAATCAATCACTGTATGTGTTAATCCAACACTGTATGTGTTAATCCATCATTGTAGGTGTTACTTCAACATTGTAAGCATTAATTTGACACTGTATGTGTTATTTCCAACGCTGTGCACGTGTTGATTCAACATTGCAGATGTTAATTCAATGGTGTTGGTTCATTCAACCATGTAGGTTGATCCTACACTGTAGGTGTTCATTAAACATGTAATTCAGAACTGTATGTGTTAAAAACACATCAATAGTAGATATTAGTCTAGACATGTATAGTGTAATTCAACACTGTAGGTATTGATTAAACAGTGTTATTTTAACAATGTAAAAAAAAATTAGCACCCTTGAATTTAATCGAGCACTGTAGGTGTCAGTTTAACCCTGCAGAGTTTAATTCAGTAGATGTATATGCAAGTGTAATGCAGCACTGCAGTTGTTAATCCAGCACTATAGATGTGAATTCAGTACTGTGATGTGAATTCAGTACTGTAGATGTTAATTTAGTGCTGCAAATGTTAATTCAGCACTGCAGATGTTAATTCAGCACTGTTGATGTTAATTCAGTAGTACAGATGTTAAATTAGCATAGATGTTAAATCAGCACTGTAGATGTTAATTCAGTACTGTAGACATTAATTCAGCACTGCAGATGTTAAATCAACACTGTGAATGATAAATCAGGACTGTAGATGTTGATTCAGGACTGCAGATGTTAAATTGGCACTGCAGCTATGAATCCTGCACTCTGTTTCATCCAGCACTGCATATGTTAACCCAGCACTGTAAATTTAGTACTGCAGTTATTAACCCAGCACTGTAGGTGTGAATTCAGTACAGCAAATGTTAACACAGCACTGTAGATGTTAATTCAACACTGCAAATGTTAATCCAGTACAGCAAATGTTAATTCAGCACTGTAGATGTTAATTCAGAACTGCAGATGTTAATCCAGCACTGTAGGTGTTAATTCAACACTGTATATGTTAATTCAGTACTGCAGATGTTAATCCAGCACTGTAGGTGTTAATTCAACACTGCAGATGTTAATTCCATACCGCAGATGTTAATCCAGCATTGTACATGTTAATTCAGCACTGCAGATTCTAACCCAACACTGCAGATGTTAATCCAGCACTGCAGATTCTAACCCAGCACTGCAGATGTTAATCCAGCACTGCAGATGTTAATTCATCACTGCAGATGTTAATCCAGCACTGTAAATTTTCATTCAGAACTGGTGGCTTCACTGTGTACAATCTTATAGTTTCCAAAAGTCGCTGATACTCCAAATGTCATGCATGTTTTTCCCGCGTGTTTTACCTACATGCTCCAAGTGCACTCACTCAATCACGCACTCACTCACTCACTTATGCAGCAGCCGCATCTCACGCCACCGCCAATCGCCGGAGTGGGAATAAAAGGTGTGAGCGAGGCTGCTGAGTCCATTAACCCCAATCGTTGCGTCTCCACATTCCTCCTGCGAACATGAATAATTGACTAAGAGGCCTTGTTCTTTCCGCGCTTTTATTACAGGATACATTAGCGACTACATCACACCGACGGCCTACGATGGCGACAGCGACGGCGCCGTCAAAGTGCCCTCTCCGGGGCCGCTCTACGACGGCCTGCGCAGCGACTACGGCGCGCCCGACTCGGACAGTCAGCCGGACAGCCCGCAGTCGGCGCTCACCGGCGGCTACATCAACGGGGACGCAGCGGTGAGCGAGGGCTACGCGGCGGACGCCTTCTTCATCACGGACGGCCGGTCTCGGCGGCGCGCGGCGGGCGGAGCGCGGGCCCCGCAGCGGCACGCGTGCGGCGAGTGCGGCAAGACGTACGCCACGTCGTCCAACCTGAGCCGCCACAAGCAGACGCACCGTAGCCTGGACAGCCAGCTGGCCAAGAAGTGCCCCACGTGCGGCAAGGCGTACGTGTCCATGCCGGCCATGGCCATGCACCTGCTCACGCACGACCTCAAGCACAAGTGCGACGTGTGCGGCAAGGCGTTCAGCCGCCCGTGGCTGCTGCAGGGCCACATGCGCTCGCACACGGGCGAGAAGCCGTTCGCGTGCGCGCACTGCGGCAAAGCCTTCGCCGACCGCTCCAACCTGCGCGCGCACATGCAGACGCACTCCGCCTTCAAGCACTTCAGGTGCAAGAGGTGCAGCAAGACGTTCGCGCTCAAGTCCTACCTGAACAAGCACTACGAGTCCGCGTGCTTCAAGGGCGCCTTCTCGGCGCTCGAGGCCTGAGGAGACTGAGGAACGAGAGGAGACCTGTTTCGGGCTCCACGTGACAGTGTTATTATTATTATTTTTGTGGGAACTTCCAGCTCGAGCCGAACGGAGAGCAACAGTAGCACAAGGTTTTGTTTGCGTGCCTGAGGGGATTAATGACCCTCAGCATCTCCTCACAGCAACGTGTCCCCAGAAAGACGTCCTGACAGTGCGCACCCCCCACCCCCCCCGCGTGCGCGCGCGCGCGCTCTGGATTTGGAAGACAGGTTTGAGTGACACAGTGCTGATCAATGACTTCCAACTCTTCTTTGTTTCTTTTCTTATTACTGGATATTATCATACTGCTGCAAGTGACCCCCCTCCCCCTCCTCACAACTAGTCACAATTGAGGTAATTTTTGACACGTTTATTTATTTATTTATTTATTTATTTATTTGTTTGTTTGTTTGTTTTTCATAGACCGTTACTTTCCTTTCATGAAAGGCAGATGTTTGTACATTTTTCTGTACGTTTTTGAGTTCTTTTTTTCTTTTGTTTTTATCTTATTAACATGCCAAAGCGTTTGAATCCATGAGAATGATTTTCCACTTCTTTGGTTTTAAATGCCTATGTAATGCATGCAAAAAAAAGAAGAAGAATCTATGCCAATAGCATAAAGCTTATCATTTTGCCAAAACTTAGATAGACAACAACGGGCAATATTTCTTGGGATTCTCGTGAGGATATATACAGCAATAATCACGTAATGCATGGTATTTTTTGAAAATAATGAACTATTACCTATAGCAGCTTTTTCTAAAATCAGGTATGTTTTGATCTCCTAATAATCAAATGGAAAAAAAAAAAAATAAAAACCACATCAGGGAAAATGCCAGTGTAGAGTTAGCCAAGTCGCCAAGACTTAAAAAGAAAAGTATAAACCACTTTTTCCTTCGCTCTGTTGTTATGCACTGCCTGCCTCTAATTTAAACGTAGTTTTAGGACGTAGGCTTGAAGTGCTGTAACTCTGCTCTAAGCAGTTCAGAATCATTTCTCCAAATCTCTGGAACACCAGGCCTGGAAAAGTAAAGGCTCCCTCTGTAGTTCACCCGAAGGGATGAGGAAGATTGCCAGTAGCAAGGAAGACAAACGTCTGCACAGCTGGGCTGTAAACCACTTGCACTGCACTTCAGGCTCGGATTAATGCAAGATTCATCCTTTTCTCCTGCCTGGGTGTCCCTCAGATTTCCGCTGAAAGCACTTCGTTTTAGAGAGAAAGTAGCACAAAACCCTAGATTCAGGTAGAGATTACTGTACTAGACCGACCTTAGTTTTTGTATCATAAATGAGGAATATCTGAGAAGCTCAGTTTAAAGAGGTGATGTAGCCTAAATGTAAATACTCATTTGAAGAGAAGAACCTTTTTACAACTGTAGACGAGTCTGCTGACTCCTGATCAGGAGATTTCTGAATCAAATATAAAATGTCCTGCGGTTTTTGAGCCAGTCTTCAACTGATGTAAAAGCACAAGGCACCAGGCATTTTGTGGCACTTCATAATAAAGATGAAGTAAACAAACCCAGTCTGTTCCTTGTTTGTTCCTGATTATTGCTATTCCTCTGTGAAATTAGTCTATTAAATAGGCCAATTAATCTTGATGAATGAAAATCAATGCACGCACTCTGACAAAGCAAACAGCAGAATGATGGACTGCAGCACAAGCCTGAAACTGTACAGCACACACAGGCAATAGAGGATCCTTTCAGCTTTACACCAGAAAGCTGGAACATCATTCAGTCCAGTTTATGTTAGGTGACTTCGATTCCCAACAGTGCTTTATAAAGTGTCTTGTTTTTGAAATACGCTTTGTGGTATGTACTGTATCGGTGATGTAATGTAATAATTACCTGCTAGTGAAGTTTCAGTAGATAGTATGTAGGTTTTAGTTTTGAGAGTCATACAAATTCTGTTAAATCATTTTTGTTCTGTAATCTTCGACACCATGTAACTTGTTTGATTTAGTCCTCTGAGTCTTTGGCAGAAATGCAAAAGAAATACTTACAAAACTTTTGCTGGACTATATTAGGTACAAAACTCTGAACTCTAAGATACCTATTGAAGAAAGAGTCAAGTGTTTACAGAGTTTCCACAAATGTGGTGAGTGATAAGTAATGCTGCTGCTGCCTCAGACTGAATTTCTCTATCACCCACTCAGCTCCCTCAGAACAGCAAAAAAAAAAAAACCTAGACCCTCTCTTAGGTTAATCTAGCTTGTGCAAACGAGGCCACCGGTGTCATCAATTTGTGGGGAATCATTATCTGAGTGTTCGGAGAGTGTGCACTCGAGTCTCCAGAGCGGCGGGTAATTGCGCTGGCAGGGTGGAATCAGCAGGAGCCATTATTTAACCGCAGACAGCTGCGAGAGGGGCTGCACACGTTGATCTGTTTGCTTTTACATCCCTGTCGCTCCACTTTAGGATCACGGGGTCCTGACGGCAGCTCCAGGGCTCAGCACAAATCTTACTCGCGCTCAGAGACTGGCAGAACAGCCACATTCTGCAATGCGCTTCACAGGTGATCAGAACACCATTCCCTAGAAAAGCAATCTTTGACAGAAGAAAAGTTAGAGTCAGGATTCTGGCAAAGATCTGAGAAATTAGCTTCAGATCTGAGAATCTAAGATCAAATCTGTGGAACTAACTCGGAAATCAGAAATCAGCTTCAGATCTAAGGAACTAGTTTAGACCTGAGGAACTGAAGAACAACTAATTCAGAGTTGAGGAACTAGCTTTCAGATCTGAGGAACTACTTAAAATCTGAAGAACTAGCTTCAGAATTCAGGAAAATAAATTCAGATCTAATAAATTAATTCAATGCTGAGGGACCTGCTTCAAACCTGAAGACCTAGTATGTAACTGAGGAACTAATTCAGAGTTGAAAAATAAACTTCAGATTTGAGGAACTAATTTCAGATACGAGGAACTAATTCATATCTGAAGAACTAGCTTCAGATGTGACGAACTAGATTCAGATCTCCTAAAATAATTCAGAGCTGAGAAACTAGCATCAGATCTGAAGAACTTGTTTCAGATCTGACGAAATAAGTCAGAGCTGTGGAATGAGCTTCAGACCTGAGGAACTAGCTTCAGAACTGAGGAGGATGTTCAGAGCTGAGGAAGCTAATGAACCAACTTCAGCTCCGAATTAGTTTCTGATCTGAGGAACAAAGATCAGACCTGAGAAGCTAGTTTCAAATCTGAGGAACTGGTTTAGATCTGAAGGGCCAGCTTTAATTTTGAGGAACTAGTTTAGACCTGAGGAACCAGCTTCAAATCTGAACAACTAGTTAATATCTGATGAACTAATTCAGAACTGTGGAATGAGCTTCAGATCTGAGGAACCAGCTTCAGTATTTAGTGTTTTTGTGGAATTCCAACAAACTATTCTATTTTATGTATTTGATTATATTACTCTCTGTATACCATTAAAGCATTTTAACAGTGTTCTTTACAGGGCCACAGAGATTTTAGAATAACATTTTAGAAAGTATGTTTTAATATTCACTGTACTCCTGTACTCTCATACTGCACCCGTGAAAAAGGCATGTACCCAAGCTGTGATGAAAAGACAACATGGCATTAGAAGTATCCACATTTGTTTGAATTGAACAACTCTTTTGTGAAGCGTTAATTTAACTTTAAGGAAATTAAGGATTTTACTGTGTAGAACTGCATCTTAATAGTTATAGCTCTTTAAAAGTGTTCTATCTGATTGTGAAAAAATTAACAGGTCCTAAATATTGGTGGGCAATGTCGATCCTAACAGTTCTCAATCCAGGTCAAGTTTACTATTCTATTTATTTGAATCAGAATTTATGCTGTTCTATGTGTGCCAAACTGAATATTTTATCTAGATCTGTCAGAAAGTGTGCTATGAACAGTTAAATGTGTTAACTCATATTGCTTCTGGTTTATTGTAAAGATGGTAAACACCAGCTGTTCTTTTAATACCTCTATAATGGTCATTGTTTACCTCTCAGACTGAGTGTAGACGTTATACCTCATGGTGTAAGAGGAGGTTCCACAGAGAGATATCTGCAGGCTAAGTTCACTCAGCCACGCTTCAGTATAGCTAGCAGCCACGGGGCAGGAGCGAGCAAGGTTTTTTTTTAGCTGGTGAGCAGTCGCTTCAGAGAGTGTTACCGCTTATCAGAACAGACATCCTGAAAAGCGCTGCCTTTGGACATAGACTCTTCACCGCCTGACTGGGAGGGAATACATGTAGAATCGCGGCCTCATGGCTGAGTAAGAGTCTAACACTACTGCACACCTCAGGCTAGGACTGCTGGGATTAGAAGAGCACAACATGTGACCTGTATGTGCTTGCCATTGGTTAACTAGAGATGCCTCTCAGTGGTGGTCAGTGAAATATGTTGCAAGGTACACTCTCAAAAATAAAGGAATCCAAAGGGTTTGTTGTAGTAAAATCATAGAAAAAGCACTTTTGGTTGCCTAAAAAACCTTGTAATGATATGTTCTTTTGAGAACCATTTTGATAAATAAGATCTGTGAGTGTGAAGAGCCTTTTTGAAGTTTAACCCTTTTTTACAGTAGCCATAAAATAAAGATTTCCACTGGTTTTGGAAGTCTTTTAGCTTTTGCAAACTGCATTTTTACCTCTCATTGCTCGCTAACAGCTCAACACAGAGTCAATCAACATTTCACACACAGGGAGCCAACAATGTTGTAGTGAATCTGATACTTCCACTGGTACTGATACTAGCTCCCCCAATGGCCACTAGGGGAACTGCAGGAATAGGCCACAGAGTCTTCCACATATTGTAAAAGTTCTAGAAAAAAACTTATATTAATTGGTATAAAACCTTTACAATATGTATGTTCTTTAAACTGAAAAAGGCTCTACACACTTGCACATTTCAGTTTTGTAAAAGGTCCTTCATGAAACCAGTGCTTCGTCTGTGACATCACACCAGAGAACCATGCTGGCACTTTTATTTTTAAGAGCATATTGTCTTACATGCTTGTGTGGTCTACAAAAGTCTGGGAAAGAGTACAACTTCTCGTTACATGTAATTCAAATCAGGGATGTCTCTGGCAGACAGTGAATGATTCCAAATAATTCATGGGCTGTTCAGGAATGAGACGTATGTGTTAAGTATGTGTTTTACTAGAAAAAGGCAAAGAAGCACAGAGACTGCCTTTAGCATGTGTTGCTCTGTAAC